ATGAGATGGCACCAACTATACAATCCAGTGTCTGAGAGATTTACTCATTTATGTTCCTACTTAAAACAGACAAGTCCTGTTTGCTGCCTTGCTGAGGATCTAGGAGCTGGACATCTCTGAAGAATTTCCAGCATGGTGAGTCCTGTCCCTGTTCTAGAGAGAGCAGGAGGCTCTGTGAACCCCACAAGAACTCAAGGTTCAGTGTTGGTTTTTCCATGTGGGGAATAGGGAGCAGGGCTGGTTCCAGGGGTCCTCACAGCAGTAATGTCTTCACTCAAGAAGATGGTAGACATATTTATTACTCTATCCTTAACACCTGAGCAAAGAAAAATTAAGTTTAACTCTTGCGGATTATAAAATAAACTTTCTATGTATAAGTCTAAACATGTAGAAAAGTAGAAGCCTGTTTATTCTGTCTGAAGAGTGCATAGGAAACCTGGTGGTTGTGGTGACTGACTGGCTGAAAGAAAAGGAAGTGACATTAAGTGAACAAGCATAATGGATTTTAAACGGTGTTGTCTAGTGTTATTACCATGTTTAGCAGCATGAGAGCTGATAAACCTGAGCAGTAGGAAATTTTTCAGATTCACAAACACATGTTGTCTTAATGATTTCATGTGCATATTTAACATCCCTCATTTCTCTCTTCTACACCAATTGAAAAAATCAGTGTCTTACTCACTGTTAGATTTTCCCTCATCTTGAAAATTTATTATTTTGGGTGTTTTGCTTGCTTTTGTTCATTTTGTTCATTTTTCCTAGTGTTAAATGTACGAGACAAAAGGGAGATTTAAATAGAAATTCATTTCTGTTAACTACATTTAAAGTGTTTTAAAGACTCTTTGTAAACCCTAGTCTAGGATTTCAGTATACTTGAACTTAATATTTTAAATGTTGATTTGAAAACTATGCTCATATTAGACCAATCTTGTTAAGTTTATCAGTAAATTTGACAAAATTTCTAAATATTTTTGGATGTTTTCACCTTGTTCATGTAGTAAGTGCAAAAAAACTACTGAAGCTACTATAAAATTGGGCAGGGGGTTAATTCACAGATTTTTGAACTCTTGCACACACAGAGAATGTATGCTACATATGTGCATGAATAAATGCATGTGCATATGGAACAAAACATATTCCATGATACTACTTATAGAGCCTTGAAGGAAAAAAGCTATAAGAAAATATGATGTAGCATTATTGGATAAATTCATTATTAAAGCTGCTATCTCTTTCTAGGAAGGAAAAACATATTTCTTTGTGTTACTTGAGAGTAGTTTTTTTATTTTGTTTGGGTTTTTTTTTTCCAGACAGTGTTTCTCTGTGTAGTTTTGGCACCTGTCCTGGATCTCGCTCTGTAGACCAGGCTAGCCTCGAACTCACAGAGATCCACCTGGCTCTGCCTCCCAAATGCTGGGATTAAAAGAGTGTGCCACCACTACCCGGTGAGAATAGTTTTAATCTTAAGTTATTTAAAGCTACACAGACACAGACACAGACGCAGACGCAGACGCAGACGCAGATACACACACACACACACACACACACACACACTCACTCACATATAATTAATTACTTTAGGTATTACTGTTTTTAATTTTTCCACCACTAAGGAATGTTTTGTTACAGCATTTAGGTACGTGTCTTAAATAATATTTGACAGTTATCACTTGACTGACTGGATCATTCATGAACAAGCTGATGGTGGAGATTTTTCTTGGTTCTGTTGGTTTCATTTCACTTTATAATTTATCTATCTTACATTTTAAGACAAAAAATTACTTATCTATTTCCCTTGATCATGTTGCGGTATTTTCTTATTCCTCTCCCTGATATTAGGACTTTAAGATTTTTGGTAAATATTTTAATTAATTCACTAAAAATTTAATACAATGTATTTTATACATTTTGGCAATTTTATTCATCATTTATAACCCCTAACTGCTCTTGTGTCCCCCACACTCCCTCTCAAATTCATGACTTCTTTAATTATTAATATTTTATACATATATAATAGTATATATTTATGTACATGCATATATATGTTGTGTTTACATGTGTCTATGATTAGGGCTCACCACTTGGGATCTGATAACCTGTTAGAGGGCTTGGCTCAACACTGGAGAAGACTGATTCTGCCTTTTTGTTTTGTTTTTTTGTTTGTTTGTTTTGTTTTTTCTAGACAGGGTTTCTCTGTGCAACAATCCTGGTTTTCCTAGAACTTGCTTTGTAGACCAGGTTGGCCTCAAGCTCACAGAGATCTGCTTGCCTCTGCCTCCCAAGGACTGGGATTAAAGGTGTGCACCACTACTGCCTTGCTCAATTCTGCCTTTTCTAACAGCATTTAATGGCTATAGCTCTTCATTTTGGCGTAAGGTGTGTGAGATTTCCTGCATCCAGGCTGGCAAGTGAACTGGTGTTGCCATTATGAATGTCTTGTTTAGGCAGTCTTGTTATTAAACGTTCATGATATGCAGCTGTGGCGTGTATAGAAGACACTATCCTGCGGTAAACAGTGTAATCATCTGGCTCTTACATTCTTTCTTCCACTGTGCTCCCTGAGCCTGGGTGCTGGGTTTGTATTAGTGATGCATCAATTAGGGATGAGCACTCCACAGTGTTGTCCTCTTGATTATTTTATTTATTTTTTATTCATTTTAGATACCATCCACAGATCCCCCTCTTTTCTCTCATCCCCCCCAACCCACCCCCCATCCCCTCCTCCGACAAGGTAAGGACTTTTTGGAGCCCACTACTTATGGTGCGACACCTTGCACAGCCTTGAGGCACCTGCATCAACTGAATGTAACAGGCTCTGTTGTTCTCTTGATTTTTATCAGTTATGGATTTAAGTAACATTCTCATCTGCTGCTGCTGCTGCTGCAAAAAGCAGCTTCTTTGAAGAAAGATGAGAGATATGCTTGCCTGTAGGTGTAAGGATGTGTATTTAGAATGGAATGCAGTTGGCAATTATACTGGTCTAGGAAAAGATTGATTGTTCCCCTTCATCTAGGGACTGTGACCTCACCAGCCAGGAACTTGTTAGGTTTTCAGTACTAGGTGTGATTTCCCTCCTATGGAGAAGAAGAGGGCTTAAGTCCAATTGGTCAATGTTGGTTACTTCCAAAATAGAAGTACCACTATTGTCCCATTGGGGATATCTTTCTGTGCCGTTCATTGTTGTTGTTTATAGGCTTTATAGCTGGGAAGGAGTATTAATTACTTTTCCCGTTTGGCAGCTTGCATACCACCTTCATAGAGTTAGAGAGCTAGTCCACAAACTCTTCAAATGTTGTAACTCCAGATATCTAGATTCCATCACAAAAGCACAAATATGAACAACCAGGAGACTATGACTCTTTCTGAACACAGCAATCCCATTCTAACAGGCCCTTGGAAAAGACATTTAGATGAAGCATGAGGCAAAGACTTTAAAATAGTAATTTAAATATGTTTGAGGATATGAAAAAAAACTTTTATAAAGATGGTGAAAATAGAAACAGTTGAATGAAACAATGAAAATAATTCAAGACCTGAAAGTAGAACTTAACAAAGATATAGAATCACTAAGGAATCCCAAACTTAAATAAAACGGGTTATGCAAAAACCCAGGAAGTCAAACAAAGCCTCAGATGTAAGTCCTACCAACAGATTAAAAGATGTGGAAGGGAGGATTTCAGACCTTGAAGTCAGGAAAGAAAAAAATGGATAGCTTATCTTAATCAAAGAAAATGTTAAATACAAAATCAAACACAATTAAAAGTTGTACTTGACCAAGTCATCTGAAGTCAGTGTCCAATACACCTAGAACATATGTCCCATCCCAAGATGGGCATGTGTCCTTGAACCTATTCTAGCTCCAGAGCAATGTGGTGTCTGTGTGTGTGTGTGTGTGTGTGTGTGTGTGTGTGTGTGTGTGTGCATAGGCCATGAAGCTAGAAAAGAGAACATGAGCTGGAAAGAGTAAGTCTTAAGACATGTGACTAAAAAGCAGAACTGGCACAATCTTTTAGACAAAAGTGGAAACCCCCAGGATAGGGTGGGAGGGCACAAAGAAGCCTTCGTGGTGGAGACTGATGAGAGCAAAGTACTTAAAATATATTTATACTCTGGTGTCCGTAGTCTCTGTTAGGGTAGCTGGAAGACAGATGGTAAAGGATTCTGTGGGTGTGCTGTCATTCCAGGGAAAATTATCAAAGATCTTCTGTGAAAAGAACTAAAGATGAAAGTTCCTGTGTTCTCTGTGGCTTTGAAAATAACTACTATGGTTTAAAAGAGAACAATCTTTTTTTTTTCCCTTTTGTAAACAGAAGAATTGAAGCAAAAAAAGAAAAATATGTTCCTAAACCAAGAGACACACTGTCCCTGAGGATGTCCCAGCTTAGCTTGACTTCACCTACCAGCTCAGATCATACTGAGAGTCAACATCCGACCCCTCACAGCCATTCTTCAGGCCTTGCTGAAAGTCAACCTCGAACCACTCCTCAAGTCTCTGGAAGTCAATCTCAAACTTTTACCAGGAATCCACCAAATTCTCCCAACCATTCCTCATCAAATTTTATGATTTTCTGTTTCCTTTCTGATATCTTCATAATATAATTACAATGGTGTTGCTGGAGAATTTCTCTCCAGCTCCCGCCACCAAGTCCCGCCAGTCCTAGAGCCCACTTATAAAATAAACACACAGATGCTTATATTATTTAAACTGCTTGGCCAATAGCTCAGGCCTATTATTGTCTAGCTCTTACTCTTATATTTAGCCCATTTCTATTAATCTATACTTTGCCACATGGCATCTTCCTTGAGCTGGCGGTGGCTCCAGGCAGTCTCCCCTCTCCTTCCTCCTTTTTTCATTCTCCTCTCTGTTAGTCCTGCCTATACTTCCTATCTGGCTATTGGCCAATCAGGGTTTATTTACATATAGCAATATCCACAGCACTTCCCCTTTTCTTCTTTTTTAAAAAGGAAGGTTTTAATTTTAACATAGTAAAATTACTGCAAGATGGCATCACTCATGCCACTGAAGGATAAGAAGCTCATGGAGGTTAAACTTGCAGAGCTGCCAAGCTGGATAATGATGTGGAATTTCACCCCCAGTGGCATAGTGGGAGCCTTTCAGAGAGGTTCTGACTGGTATTACAACAAATACATCAACGTGCGGAAAGGCAGCATCTCTGGGATTAACATGATGCTGGCAGCCTATGTGGTTTTCAGCTACTGCCTTTCTTACAAGGAATTCAAACATGAGCGGCGATGCAAGTACCACTGAAGAAGGGTCACTGTGGAGGGCACTGCACACCAGAGCACAACCGCCTGCCCCACTCTCATCCATGACTCCAACTTTGGCTGAGTCTTCATGTCCTAAGACCTAGTGTCCAATAAAAGGTGACTGGCTCATGAAAGAGAGAGATAGAAAGAGAGAGAGAGAGAGAGAGAGAGAGAGAGAGAGAGAGAGAGAGAGAGAAGTCCCAGTGAAGGCACAATGTCCATTGTGTAGCAGAAGACAGAGACCTAGAAGCAGACCATGACTCATTGTAAAGAACACTTGTAAGTAAACTTGTGTGGACTAAAGTTTTTGTTGTGTGACTCACTATGTCATACTACATCTTCAACCATGAGATATTTTTCTACTAAATTTTACTTTATTTGTTGATGTGGAGTTTTAAGGGCAGAGGGTGGATAAGAAGGAATGGGGTGATGAACAGGATGGGAATGCATAAGGTGAAATCTACAAAGAATTAATAAAAAAAGCTTTTTAAAAAAGGAAATACCAAAACCCCACATGATAGATAAATAATCCTGAATAAAAAAGAACTGTTAGAGGTATTATCACCTCTGATCTCAAATTGAACTAGAGAACAATTGTAATAAAAGCAGCATGGTATTGACATGAAAACAGACATGTCAATCAATGAAATAGAATTGAAGACCCAGACAAAAGCCAACACACCTACGGACACTTGATTTTTTTGTTTGTTTGTTTGTTTGTTTGTTTGTTAGAGAAGCCAGAAATACATACCTGAAAAAAGACAGCATCTTCAACAAATGTTGTTGATCTAATTGGATGGCTGCTTGTAGAAGAAGAATGCAAGTAAATCCATGTATCATCCTGCAGAAAACTCAACTCCAAATGAATCAAAGCCCTCAACACAAGGTCAAATTCACTGAATCAGATAGAAGAGGAAGTAGAAATATCCTTGAAGTCATCGACACAGAAAAATACTTTTGAGCAGAATACTACCAGCACATGCACTAAAATCAATAATTAATAAATGGAACCTCATGAAATGAATAAGCTTCTGTATAGCAAAGGACACCATCACTTGGACAAAGCAGAAGGATACAGAATGGGAAAAGATTTTTACCAACTATATATCTGATAGAGGACTATTACCCAAAATATATTAAAAAACTCAAAATATCAGATATCAAGAAAAGGAAACCAAAGTAAAAATATGTTACATATCTAAATAGATATCTTAAAAGAAGAACCTCAAAAGGCTGAGAAACACTTTAAAATGTTCATTATCACTATCCATCTGGGAAATGCAACCAAAATTACCTTGAGATTTCATTTTACACCAATCAGAATGGCCAAGATCAATAAAACAAATGACATCTCATTCTGGCAAGGATGTGGAGTCAGGAGAACATCCATTGTTAGTGGGAGTGCAAAATTACATGTCCTCTACAGAAGTCAGTGTGGTGGCTCCTCAGTAGGATGGGAATCTATCCACCCGAAGTTCCAGCTATACCAATTTTGGGTATATAAAGGAAGTTTCATTTTACCACAGAGACAGTTGCTTAACCATGTTCATTGCTGCTCTATTCATGATACCCAGAAATTGGAAGACCATCAATGGGTTAATGGATAAAGAAAATGTGGTACATTTACCCAGTGGAATGTTATTCAACTGTTAAAAAGTGAAATCATGAAAGTCACAGGTAAATGGATGTAACTAGAGGGAAAATCATCCTGTGTGAGGTAACTCAGACCTAGAAAGACAAATATTTTATGTGTTGTGTTCACTTATATGTGAATGTCAGCTCTTAAGCCAATGATAAGCAAGCTACACTCCATAAAACCACAGAGGTTAGTTAGAGAGTAAGGAACTAGGGGAGGAAGGATGCATCTCCCTAGGAAAGCTGAGTAGAATAAATAGGTATGGATGGACAAAGAGGGGGCAAAATGGGAGGATCAAACAGCAAAGGAAGGTAGAGAGGAGCAGAGAATGGACTACATGGATGGACAGTGGAAAATAAGGGCCATTAGAGAGGTCATAGAGAAACTTAATGCAATTGAAGCTTCCTTCAGTATATATAAATAGGAATGTAATGTAAATGAAATCACCAAATAATGGGAGAGACAGCACCCCAACTAGACAATGCTCATTACCAAATGAAGTACTGAGAATGGGCTAAATCTATTTGAGTTTCTGGCTAAAGGGATCACATAGGAACCCAAAAAGGACCCAGGTTATTGTCAATAATATTGATGGCTGCCTACAAACTGACAGTAAAGTCTTACTGCTGAAGAAAACACCTACTCAACTCTAAACACTAAACACAGAAATTAACTACCTTGATCCTTCACCTCAGTTTACTAATAATATTCAATGTACTGGAATGTACTCGGCACACAATTCTAAAGTAGAAAGATAAACACCAGCCCACCTTTAAGCCATTCCATTTCCAAAAGTGACCTGCCTGCAAGATACACTACTATAATACTGGCACAAAGCTTGTGGAGGTAAGGAACCAATATCTGATTTGAGTTAAGGTCAAATCTATGAGCTAGAACCATATCGAATGCTACTCAGCTGGCCATGAACCAGAGACAAGATGGGCCAGCAAACTATGAGAAAACTAAACACTATACTTCGGCAAAGAGGATGTGGCAAGTTAATGACTCCAAACACATTCTGCTATACCCATAGATCAGTTTTTTGCTCAGACATTATTAGAGAAGCTTCCTCCTGCAGTAGGTAGGCAAAAATACCCACAACTAGACAATATGCACATGTGAGAGGCCTTGAAACACTCAGCCCTCAATGGGATGTCTCCATCAAGTCTCTCCCTTTTGGACTCAGGGAACTCCGCAGAAGAGGAGGTGGAAAGAGTGTAAAAGCCAGAGAGGATGGAGGACACCAAGAATACAAGGCATCCTAGACACAAGACTGGCACACATATGAACTTAGAGAGACTGTGGCAGCAGGCACAGGGCCAGGATGGGCCTGTACCAGGTGGGATCAGAGAGTTTAAAGGAGAAGTGGACAAGTGCCCCCATCCCTGTCCCAGAAGCTATCCACAATTGATAGGCATTTACAAATGAACAATTAGTTTTCTCCAAGGGAGAAACAAATCACTCTTAAGGGTAGTGACCGTGCTCAGTAGTAAATGGCCAACACAAAACAAACACAACAGGATCATTGGATGTTTTTGTCTCCCTCTTTTAAGTCAGGGACATTTTTTTCTTTTTGTCTTACAGGTCCTTTTTGTATACATTATGGATTTTGGTTTAGGTTTTTTAGGGGATTCCTGTGTGAGAGAATGTGTGTGTCTCAGTGTCTGTATGTGTTTCTTTTACTTTTTCTTGTTTGGTTATTTTGTCATAGTGTAGTTTGAGTTTTCCTGTGTCTACCTGGCTCCTGCAGCTTCTCAGAGCTTTATATTACTTATAAATTTGTATGGCCATGGCAGGCTTCTTGGTATCTAGTTCTTATATCTTAAATTCATCTATAAGTTGTCATGTGGCTTGTGGCTTACTGGTACTGTACATCTTGCTTCTCATGGTGGTATCTGGTAGCATCTCCTGACTCGGGCTTCCACTTCCCAGAATTCTCTTCTCAGCTTATCCCACCTATACTATACTTCCTGCCTGGCTACTGGCCAATCAAAGCTTTATTTATCAATCAATCATAGCAACACATAATCATAGCATATAGAAAGACATCAACAGCACTTCCCTTTTCTTCTTTTCAAAAAGTATGGTTTTACCTTTAACATAGTAAAATTACATATAGCAAAACAATTATCAAGCAAGAATTATAGTTATAATATCTAGTCTATTTGTATTTGGCAAAATTAAAGAAGATATCCTATCTATCCTATATTTGTGAGTCTAAGCTTTTATATCTAACTTATCTTTTATCACAACTAAGGAATTTATAACTATCTAGTCTTCAAATACATCAAAGACCTCAGAAGGATATAATGTTAGCTGAGAAATCAGAGAATGATGCAAGCAACTATTGGGAGTCTTGCGAGAGTAGATAGAGACAGCTGGCAGCCTGGAGAGTCATCCAAAGTTTCTCCACATTCAAAACATCTGACATTCGCCAAACCTTTGAATGTATTGCTTTTTATTTTATTATGATTCCTTAGATGCCTGTTTGTTTTCTGACTAGATACAAAAAGAGGAGATTGTTTGGGATGGGTAGAAAGGAATTGGAGAAGTAGGGATGGCTGTAATCAGAATATATAATGTGAAAAATATCTATTTTCCCATTTTCATCCTTTTTTAAAATATAAAAAGTAAAATATGATAATATAAAACAAAAATTATCACATTAAAGTTAGACAAGATAAGCCAACAGAAGAAAAAGAACCCAGGAGAAGGCACAAGAATCAGAGATTCAGTCATTCGTGCACTCAGGAATTCTTCAACAACCATAAACAGGAAGATCTAAAATATGTGCAGAGAACCTGGTGCAGACTTGTGCATGCTATAGTATGGAAATCTAAACAGTAGAAAATTTCTAAAAAATATACATAGAATAAAGTGATATAAATGCAATCCCTAAATAATGAGAGAGACAGAGTCCCAATTGGCCATCACTTGTCACCAAACAAAACTTCTAGTGCCGAGACTGGATTACATCTAATTGATTTTTTTGGGACCCAAAGGGGTCCCATGAGAATCTCTAGACAATGCAGCGTGTTATCAAGATAAGTTGCTCTCCATAAACTGACAATAAGATCCCATTGCTGAAGGCAACACCTACACAACTCATTGAGCATGAAGAAGTCATTCTGATGCCTACATAGAATCTTCACCCTAACATTTGAGCATTTTGGGTACAGGAAGGTACTCTGCACACTACCATAAGAGAAACATAAGCACCAAAACATCCACAAGCCCTATGATCTACAGTGGTGTCCTCCCTGCAAGATAAGCTAATGCTATGGTGGCACAAAGCTTGTGGGAGTAATCAACCAATATCTTATTTGAATTAAGGCTTATTCCACAAATTGAAACCCATATCTGAGACTGCTTGGAAGACCAAGAACCAGAGATTAGATAGTCCAGGAACCTAGAGTACAACCAAATAACACTGGTCAGAAAACAAAATAAAATTATTGGGGACAAAAATTATTTTCAATAAAAGGAAAACAAAGAACTTAAGGCATAATTATTTTCAGATGATACGATACTCTATATTAAATACCCTGACATCTCCAGAAATCTCTTATAGCTGATAAACATATTCAGCAAATATAAGGATACAAATGTAACACAAAAAAATCAGTAGATTTCCTATATAAAAATGACAAACATATCAAGACAAAATCAAGGAAAAAATCATATTCAAAACAGTTTGCTGGAAAGTGGTGGTACACTCCTTTAATCCCAGCATGCAAGAGGCAGAGGCAGGCTGATCTCTATGAGTTCGAGGCCACCCTGGGTTACAGAGTGAGTTCCAGAACAGGGGCAAATCTACACAGAGAAACCCTGTCTTGAAAAACAAACAAACAAACAAACAAACAGCCTAGAAATTACATTGTCTTGAAATGAAAGTAACCAAGGAAGGGAATTGTTTCCACAATGAGAACATTAAAACAATGAAAGAACTTAAGAAAGATGAAAGGCTTCCCAGTCTCCTGATTGTTGCATACAAAAAGAGACAAGAGCTACCAAACACCAGCCCTTGGAAAACATACATTCATGTCGTCTATCCAGGCAAATCAGTGGACCCCTGTCAGATGATGGCATTACTGTTGATTATTACCATTACTATTACCAAAATCCATGGCATTACCCTGTTTGTGGATCACCTTTAAAGCTCTCAAACTAACTGATTTGTGACATTTGTTCCCTGCCTTGGTGTAACAATAGTGCAGACAACATCCACTATCCTTAACAGGGAAAATCAGTCAGAAAACTGCTGTGGGATATTCTGTATGTTAAATGTGTTGCTCTGATTGGTTAATAAATAAAACACTGATTGGCCTGTAGCCAGGCTGGAAGTATAGGCGGGACAAGCAGAGAGGAGAATTCTGGGAAGTGGAAGGCTGAGTCAGAGAGTCCTTGCCAGCTGCTGCCATGACAAGCTAGATATAAGATACCAGTAAGCCACGAGCCACATGGCAACTTATAGAATAATAGAAATTGGTTAATTTAAGATATAAGAACATTTAGCAAGAAGCCTGAGCCATTAGGCCAAACAGTTTAGATAACATAAGAGTCTGTGTGTTTATTTTTATAAGTGGGCTGCAGGACTGCAGGGACATGGCAGGAACCAGAGAGAAACTCTCCAGTGACAGAAAACCATTGTTTTAGGCTCTGAAACTACCAGAAGTTCAGAACTTTTCATAAGTTTTCAAGGCTTCGGTATTGTCAGTGCTGTATAGAAAGTTCAGTTCAGGTTTATAGAGATAGCCCATGACCTGTTGTGTTTTTTCATAAAAGATTCCTAAGGGATCATTAATCACTGAAAGAAGACAGCTTAGCTGTAATACACACAGCAGTCAATGGCAAATTACTTTCTATTTAGCTGAAGCTGGAGTCACATGGTTCTTGTAAAATTATGCTCTGGAAAGTCATGGCCTGGGGACCATCAATAAATTAATGAATGCTTTGGAAAGTGCTTAAACAAAAGTGATTCATCACAAATCTTTCCCAATCCAGGAAATGTTCAACCAAGTTTGAGGAACCGGATCTAACAAGAAAGGAGGTTGAAATAGCTGAGTGACTCACTTTTATCCCTTGATGATTTCATCTTCATTAAAATGAAAGTAAAATTCCCAGTGGCCCACCAGTAAATCTGTTGGATATAAAAGCTCAATGTTGGGCTTTGTGCCTACTTATACTTGTAAGAAAAATAACTGAGTAAAGAAAAACTCTATTTTGGGGTTATTTTTTTTCCTGGAAACTACATTAGTAACAGGAAATGAACTGTTCTGGTTTAGAAGCTGGAGAAATCGAAAGCTATGAACACTGCTGGGTGGAGAGCAATTACATTACAACCCTCCCTAGGGAGACAGCAAGGGGCAAGACAGCTAGCACTGCTGAAGTTAGGAACTTACTCTAAACAGCTCCCTTGTCTTCACTGTTATTCTGTAAATACTACATATTCTCAGCATTTAATGAGATTTCAACACCCTGCTGTGTACTTTTGAGAGATTTATCTTCCTACACGACATAGACAAGCCCTATTTCCTGCCCTGCTGAGGATCTACAATCTGGACATTACTGAGACATTTCCAGAAGGTAAGTGCTGCCTCTGTTATATAAAGAGCAGATAGCTCTGTGAAATCCACAAGAACGCAGGGATCACTAGTGGTCCTCCAGTGGAGGGTGGGGGAAGCAAGGATGGTTCCAGCTGCATTAAGGGCACTGAAACCATGCAGCTGGAGTCTAATGCTTCATTCAGGAAGATGGCAGACATCTTTGTTTCTTCATCTCTGGGGATTGGGACAAGAAAAGATGCATTTTGATTAATTGGAGTTTGTAAAATAAACATTCTAAGTGTAGGTATGAGTAAATAGAAAGTGAGAAGAAGGCTTTAGTTATCTTGGCTAGAGAGTACATGGAATCCTGGTGGCTGTGGAACATGACTGCATAAAGCACAAGGTAGTGATATGAAAGTTACCGTGAAGTAATATTGAGTGTAAATGCAACTGCACATGGAGATGAATTATCTTGTGAAATCCTAATAGTACACAGCATGAAAGTCAACAGATGTGTGTATTAAAAATTTTCTAGGATTCAGAACCACTGCTATTCAAATACATACTGTTTTCATAGGCATATTTAATATTTCTTATTCTCCCCTTCACACAAGGTATTAAAAATAGTAATTAGTCATTAGGAGAAACTTTTGGGTCATTGTGAAGCTTACTTTTTTGCTTGGTTATATTTTATTTGTTTTGGTTTTTGGTCATATGATGCATGGATTAAAGAAGATTTAAATAGAAACATATTTCTATTGTCTACTTTAAGAACATTTTAAAGGTTGCCTGTATCCCCTTGCATAGTACTCCATGTGTACTTAAACGTCATAATTTAAATGTTGATTTCAGTATTGTACAAGTATTAGACCCATTTGCTAAGTCTACCAGCTATGTGGCTCAAAGTTCTAAATCTTTTACAGATGTTTTCACCTTAGTAATTCAGTGATTGATACACTGTTGTATTTACCACAAAACTATTGGTTCTCGTTCTGATTATTTTCAAATTCACAGACTTGTGTGCTCTCACAGACATTGAATATATATGATGTATGTCTGTGTGTGGATATGTGTACTTGTGTGAAAATATATTCCATGATTTTACAGAGCTGTGAAGAAACAAAATAATGACAAATAGCAGGCACAATCATTAGTAGCTAGATCCATAATTAAAACTATTATATCCGTCTAGGATGAGAAGGTTTATCATATTTGGTATTTGATAACAATTTTTGCCTCCAGTTCTGTTAAAGTTTCACTAATGCAGATAAACAGGATTGTCTTAAGTTTTAACTAATTTTGGATTTTTCTACTGTTAAGGAATGTTTTATTAACAACCTAGGGAAACAAATCTTAAATCACATTCAGAAGTTTTCACTGGACTGATTAGGTCCTTCATTATGGGCTGGTACCAGCAGGTTTCTGTTCTGCTTCTGCTACCACCATTTCACTATAGGATGTGTCTATCTTACATCAACAAACTCTATGCTCTGTTCTGTCTGTTCCTCAACCATGTTATGAACTTCCTCTTTCATGACTTTTTTTTAAAATCAGGTCTTTATTTTGAAGCATGTGTGTGCCTAGGAAAGTTTGTATTTTTCATTTTAGAAGAACTGTATTTTGTTTCTTTCTCATTGTTTTAGTTCTTTGAGAATTTCATGCAGTGTACGTTGCCCATATTCACCCCTTCCCACAACTCCCTCCAGATACACACTCCCTTCCCTTCCCACCCAACTTTGTATCTCCTTTTCTTTTTAAAACCCATCAAGTACAGTTTGTGATCAGCCAACCATGGGCCATGCCCTTAATAACAATGATTCTCCCTCTCCCAGCAGCCATCAAATGACAAATATTCCTTAGCTGGTTATGGGAATTTGTGTCCACCTCCCTTTACTTCATGCTGGAATTCTGTTTGGCTTAAATTTGCACAAGTCTTGTGATGTTCTACAATGACTTTGAGTTTATATGTGCAACTGCCCAGCTGTGTTTGGGAAACTCTGTGTCCCTGTAGTCATCAACCACCTCTGGCTCTTAATTTTTTCTTCCCCTTCTTCTTCAAGGATTCCTGAGAAGAAGGGTAATATTGGTGACTACTTTTCTTTGCTGGTAAATGAATAGCACCTCCCAGCACTATAAAAGCTAGTCAGTGGGAATGTACCTTCGTGGTCACTACCAGCTGATGTCTCCATGTTCTGTGACTTAAATATGTGATGTCTTTATCGAGTTGGAAAGAAATCATGAGCATTGGCAATAGCTTGTAGTGTGTGGTATGTGAGTGTGTGTGTGTGTGTGTGTGTGTGTGTGTGTGTGTTTGAGAGGGTGTGTAATGGGATCTCACTGATCAACAACTCCAAAGGAAGTAACATTTTATTGACACTAGGATTTTCATTTGTTAGTTCCTGGTATCTACTAGGATCATTGTTACTCATTTTAAATGGATTATAAGTCTATTAAACACTTTTTATATATGAATATGTATATATTTTATGAAGTATATAGAGGAGCAATTTTCCATATGACTTTTTGAAAGGTCATTAGAATTATAATTCTAATTACAACTTCCCTTCACTCTTCTGCCCCCACATTCTCCAACTGCACTTAACCATATTGTTTCAGTATTCCACTTTACACCTTTTTACCACTTCATTCTGTCCCCTCTCACTTGAAAGCATCTCTTTTAAATCCTAATTTCCCTTCATTGTCCCCCAGGGTCTCATGCAAATACAGTATAAGACATAGCTCCATATTTTACAATACCACATTCTTTAAATTTTTCAACACTTTATAGAAATTCAAAGTCCCTTTAAAAGTCCTATGTGTCCTAAATATGATTATAGAATCCTTTAAAATAAAGGGTGAGTCACATATTTCTAATTCCAAAAGGATAGAACTTGGGCATAGGAACAATAATACATAGATAAAAGCAAAATCCAGCAGTGTAGATCAACATTCTACAGTCAATAATCCTATCTGTAGATTAGTTAGGAGGCTCCCACAACACAAAACAATGTCTCAGAATTACAACACAGCATAGACTCCCCAATTTCCTCAACAGAATAGCACAGTAGTGCAAAGTTATTTCAGGTCCTTGGTCTGACCACAAGTTCAGAATTTCTCGTTTTCAATGTTTCCATATTGTCATTAAATAGGCCCACTACCTATTATCTTTATCAATAAATAACGTAGAAACACTATGGATTCATTAACTGAGTCACCTAAGGAAGAACAGCTTTACTATAGTCCATAGAGCAGCAGGCATGACAAATTCCTTTCTATTAATTGAAAGCAAAATATGCAAGATACTTCTTAAACAATCTTCTGGTTTAGGAACTAATGAAAAATTAGTAAATGTTTTAATAAGTTCTTAAACCAAAAATACCTGCATCAATGATGATTCTCTATCCAGGAAACACATCCTGTTCTTTGTGGCAATAGAACCTGCTGAATTCTCCTCCTGCCACCTCCACCTTTAGAGGAAGAGAGGAGGTGTCTGGGTGGCTCACACTTTTCCTTTTAGAAATTACCTTTATTCAAAGTAATGTGATTCTCAGTGGCCCAAAGTAAGTATGCTGGACATGAAGGGTTAACCTTGGATCATCCACCTATGAAAACTTGTAAGAAGAACAGCTGAGCACAGCAGACCTTTGTTTTTCAGTGTAGGGAAGTGTGTACAAGATGGAAACCCTTCAATCACACTAGCCAGGAAAATCAATGGGAGGAGGCCTCACTTTTGCAGCCTTTCTCTCCCCGGAGAGAGCATGGTGCAAGACACTCAGGGTTGCACCACTTGAGTCAAATCGAAATGACTCTGACCACTGTCGTTCTTCCCATCTTATAAGCTATTCATGTTCCTGGCAGTTTGTGGATTGCAACATCCCTTTCCAGTCTGCGGGATTTATTCATTTATCTTCTTCAAAGAAAACTACCCCTATTCCTAACCTTTCAGTTGAACTACGATCTGGGCACTGCTGAAGAAATCCCCAAGAAAGTGAGACCTGCCCCTGCTATGTAGAGTTGAGAGCTCTGTGGAACCCACAAGAGCACAGGGGAAACCAGTGCTGCTTCCTTCAGAGGAGAGTGGAGGGAGCAGGGCTGGTGCCAGCTGCTCTCAGGGCAGTGAACCCACAGCAGCTAGGGTCTGATGCTTTGCTAGGGGAGATGGCAGACATCTTTATTCCACCCTTATTTGGACTAGAGCTAACAGAAGTGCATTTTGATCATGGCTGATAATAAAATAACTTTCTAAGTATAAGTATTAGTAAATGGAAAATACGAAGAAGGCTTTAGTTACCTTGGCTGGAGAGTGTGAAGGAACTTGTTGACTGTGGTAACTAACTAGGTAAATGATAGGATAGTGACATCAAGGGATTACTGTGAAATAATAGTATTAAGTGAAAATATATCATAACATGGAACTGCACTCTAGTGTTCTGATATTACACAGCATGAGAAACAATGGACATGCATAGTACAAAGCTTCACAGATTCAGTTACTCAAGTACATCTTTTTTCAATCATCCAGGAACACACTTATCATCTTTTACATCAGGTGTATTTCAATCACAGTGAATTTGTTTCTGTCATCTTGAAATTCATTTATTTTATTTAGTTTTAGATTGTTTGGATTTGTTTCTTATTTTCTGGTGGAAAATGAAGGGGGCTGAGTGAGAGTTAATTAGAAATATATCTCTATTACCTACCTTTAAAATATTTTAAAGGCTTTCCATGTACCCTTTAGAGTTCTTAATATGTACTTGAACAGAGTATTTTAGAAGTTGATTTCAGATGTGTAAGTATGTAAGGGTATCTCTCTCGTATCATTTATGTTTCTGAAACATTCTAATATTTTTACAGATGTTTATACCTTGTTAATTTAGTAATTGAGAAATATACTGCTGAATCTATCAAAATATTTTGGTTTTCTCAAATTCACAGATGAGTAAGCTCTTCCATGTACACATGAAGGGGATATGTGTGCATCAGAACATTTGGAATAAAACATATACTATGTTGCTACTTATTATGGTCCTAACAAGAGACATAAAATACTGAGAAATGCCATACACTATTATTGGTATATAAAACCAACATTTAAAGTATTATCTCTTTCTAAGGGTATGTTCCAGTTGTTTTTTGTTTTTGTCCACTTAACCCAAGATAAAATTATCTGGGAAGAGATACTCTAATTGAGAAAATGCTTCCTTTAAAACTGCCTGTAGGAAAGTGTGCAGGGCATACTTTTTTTTTGCCCTACACACTTTCTTAATAAAAAAAAATTAAGAAAATTTTTTCATTCATTTTACACACCAATCAGAGATCCCCTTTTCCTTCCTCAAACCCTCCAGCCTCCCCTCCCAACCCAAACCTCACTCCCTCCCACAAGAAGGCAAGTCCTCCCATGTGGAGGCACATCCAGTAGAGGCAAGTCCAAGCCCTTCCCCCTGCCTCAAGATTGCACAAAGTGTCCCATCATAGGTAGTGGGCTCTACAAAGCCCATGAGTGTGTAATCCATTGAGGGCAGTGCCATCCATATGCAGGTAGTACTGAGTGCTGAGCAAGCTATAAGGATCAAGCAAGTAATCAGTGCTCCCCATAACTTCTGCTTCAGTTCCTGCCTCCACAGCCAGCCTTGAGTTCCTGCTCTGACGGCCTTCACCAAAGGACTGTGATGTGGAAGTATAAAATGACATGATCCCTTTCTTCCCAAATTGTTTTTGGTCACGGTGTTTTATCCCAGCAATAGAACTTGTAATTAAGAGAAAAATTGATACTGGGTTGAGGGATATTATTGTGGCACACCTGACTGTGTTTTAGGAAGGATTATGAAAGAACATTGTAACTTTGGGACATAAAAGCTATTGAGTGTTTAGAGATTAATCAACTATTGTAGGAACTAACAAGATAATGCAGAGGCAGTGCAAATGATAAAGGTCTGGCTTGGAAATTTCAGAGAAGAGGTTCAGAGTTTCCTAAAGAATCTTTTGCGGCCACTCAATATTTGAATTACAAATCTGTGATTCTGTTCACCTGTGACTCAATCATTGACTGAGATTAAGAAGAGAACAGCATTATTGAGGTATAATCTGGGAAGTGTCTTTTCACTGTCAGTACACACAAGTTGAAGTTGTGATCCAGAGGAGTCTAGGATGTACCTTGTGCTGACATCCAAACTTTATAATTTAAAAGACTCAACTAGTGGTACTGTTTTTGGAGGCATAGTGAGGACATAAGCAATAGCTGAAGCTTGCCACTGTGAAAAGTTGTGAAAGACCATTGGTGATGATACAAAACAGGTACAAAGGGACCCCAGCCTTTTTGAGATGTCAGTACCATGGGATGACACCAAGGATAGCAGTAAACATAGAGAGAGGTAATCTAAGCACAGGAGAAACACTATGTGTGCTTGGATGGAAGAGCAAGAGAAATGAAGTTGCCATGGCCCTTAGCATACCAGAAAATCTTTTCACACTGTAGAATTTGATTTTGCTTTGAATCAAATGTAATGATGAACTGGTTTTTCCATCTTGGAAAAATTGTAGATAAGTTATTTTTTATTTTATAAGAGCTCACAGTTGAGATACTTTGAATTTTTAAAGACTTTAGAATTTTAGAGAGACTTTGGATATTTTAGAGGGGCTTTGAAATTTGGAAGAGACTTTAGGTGTTTTAAAGAGACTGAACATTTAAAATATTTAGCTTTTTAGCAGTGAGGAGGAACACATTGATATCCAGAATCTAGTGGGCAAAGATTGCCACTGATGAATGTATACTATGTTGTGTAATACAGGAAAGTATACTGAGGTTGGGATGATTAGTCCAAATTAAAAAGTAATAACACAATAAATGTTCTCATATAAATGGAAACCATAAAAATTATAGTCTTTGTCATCACATATCTGATTGTATTTGAAATAGTTGTGTTTTCACAAGTACCAACTCAAAGAAATGCTTTCTATTTTACTTTTTCCTGGCATCTGGATATTAGTATTGTATGGAAATTGGAATGTTCCTCTGAAGAAGGGAGTTTCATTATTGAGAATCAGCCTTAATCTCCTCCTTGAATATATAGGTGATCTACTTTTAACGTCTTATGGCTTACACAGTATGTCTTTTTCTTAATACTCTTCCTCTTCCCTGTCATGTGTCCTTGTGTGGATATTCTATTCAGCCTTGGATTTTTTTGAGCATGGAGAATGTTGAATTTTTCTCCAAAAAAGGGAAGCAATTAAAGCCCTAGAAATTTATTTCCAATTAAGCTGAGGTCCATACAGGTATGACTCCCAAATTAAAATACCATAAATTGAATTAGAATGTTGAACTCATTCCATTCTCTAAAGATCATCAAGGAAGTATATAAAATATGAATGAGCTACAAAGAGGAAAATTCAGTTTATTGGGGAATTTGAGAATTTCTAGAGAGCCAATCTTTTGATGTTTCAAATTTTCTAATTTTTTGTTATTAGTTTCTTACAAATGTCTCTGATGAGAGTTGAAAGACTTGTGGGCAAAATAATAAGTTTAATTCTACTCCTATTTATCAGTGTAAAATTAATAGGTTCTCAACTAGGGACTATGAGTAGTCTAGTCACGGGTTTTCAGCCTTAGAATGGTGCCAGGTATGGGTTTCCACTCATACAGTCCTTAGATCAAATCACAAAATGGATGGTTAATCCCACAGCATTCATGCCACTGTTGCACTGTTGAGCATGTTTTGCCAGATGGGTTGTTACTCTACCTGCAAGGATCCACAACTGAGTAAGGTTAATAATTATTTTTCTCCTCCATTACTGTGCACAGTACTTTCCAGATTGGAAAATCTAGCCAGCAGGGATGAGGCTTCAGGGGAATATCAACTTGATTTCTCGATGTTCTGTAACTCAAAGTGTGGTGTCTCTGCAATAGAGTCTTACCATAAAGTTCTGGCTTTTACTGAAGAGCATTGTCAATAGGCAATATGTTGGGAGTCTATGAGAACTGACAGGTGAGTAACTTCAAGAGAGCAAATTCATTCCTAGCACTGGGCTTTTTGTTAAACTGTGGTGTCTAGTAAAAATATTGTTGCCCCATTATACAGTAACTTCATGTGAATTCTTTATAGATAGATTTTTTAGGTAGCTAGGAAAAGAGAAGATAAATTATATATATATATATATATATATATATATATATATATATATATATATATATGCTTCTACAGCAATGGGTTTCCATCTTAGTTTTGGAAATATACTTAGTGTTATTACTCATCTCTCATTTCTTCTACTACCTTATCCTCCCATCACACACCCCATTTAACTCTTAAGTTTTCTAAATTTATGAAAAGTAGACAGAGAAACAAATGTGAGAATGACTTTCCAAGCAATGAAAAAGAAATTAGACATACCTTAAACCTTGACAATAGGAGTGTATTTTGTATATTTTGAAGCATATTCTCTCAGGAGCAAAAATAAGCATAAATGGAAGAGGTCAGATTATTCATGTTCTTCCAATATATTTGAGGAGGACTGGATATTGTTAGTAAACTAGAAAACTATTAAAAGATCTAGGTGGGACTTAAGCATGACTAGTAGGTGGAAATTTTTATCTATGAACAAATAAATTTACACTAAGTAAATCCTGAAAGGATAAAATCAAGAAACTACAGACACAATTCCATCCAATAAATTCTAGGGTGCTGCTCTGAAAACTATGTAGATGTTGGAGAAATTGACACTAATATGAGCACAAAGGACCTAAAGATCACAATCCAAGTCCAGGAGAGACAGGATGCTAATGAGGGTTGTTTGAGGCAAACCTGAGTGGACAATGGTCAGTAGCTCATCATGGTCATGTGACTTCAGTCATTGTTCATCCAGGTACACTGTAATAGGATGCAGTCCATTTGCACATAGGCCACTTTAGAATGGGAAAAATCAGAAACCCACAGGCAGATATCGAGGGACAGGCTCCAGAACCAAATAAGAGTGGAAAAAGCATCTAGGATATGAACACTCAAAGCCCAGACTCTAAACACTTCAACAATTATTGATTCCAACACTTTTCTTCCACCACAAGTCACTATTCTAAGTCACCTAACATGGCTTATGGGGAAGAATATCCTAGGCTTGTTTATTAATACAGAGGTTCTATATCCATTTTGTATTTAACTCTGTTTTTGTCTTACATGCAATTATGGACATTATCAATTGGGGTCATTCACTAACACAGGAATAACCCTGTTTTGGAATTGTCTGTATATGTCTGTAATCCTATGTCCATTTTCATCTTTTAGGATCGTCCCTAATTGTAGAGATAATGAGTAAATACAAGACAATTGTTCTTCAACAAGGATTAGAGGATATGGCTGTGGATGACTACCAGTTTAGGAAAATCAAGTCCTTACTAAGAAAAAAACTAAATCTAACAAAAAAGATGCAAGATGATTATGACAGAATTCAGATGGCTGACCAGTTGGAGGACACATTCCCAAAAGATGCTGGACTGAACCTGCTGATAAATGTGTGTCAAAGCATTAAAGAACTTGAAGGCCTTGCTAAAAGGCTTAAAACAGAGAGAGCAAAAGGTAACATGGGAGCATCCAGGACACTCATCCCTTCTCCACCCTCCCTAAACTTTCTGGCTCCCTGCAGCAATCAGAGTTAACATGTTTCTTTCCCAGTGTGTGCCTTAGAAACAATGGGGTTGAAGCATCTCAGATGTCAACAAGTTGATGATTTCAAGAAATCTTTTCTTACAAAGAAACTAGATATATTTCAGGGTAGACATCTTTTGCGTTGGAGGTAAATAATATAAAAGGCAGTTGTTGAGATACATTAAAACTTTCAAACATAGAAAAACTAGAAAATGATAAAGTAAAAATTGAAAACGTCATGTAAAGCATTTAAATAGAATAAATTTAATACTTGATTAACCATCTTACACATTCTTTAGTACCCTGTCCAGTAAGAAATATGATCTAATATTTATGTAGAATCCTGCATTTTAGAGATGTGAAGAATTTTCTCTTTACAAAGTCACTGGTTTAAAAATGTTGCATATACTGGTACACAATTCCGACCTGAGAATTTAGCATAATGAGGCCCAGTCAAGGAGACCTGCAGATTGAGAATACATGAGTTACATAAAAAAATATATCCCCAATATAGATGTCAAAATCCAATGTTGCTATTTTCTTACATCAAATATCAACTCATAAACATTATTAAATAAAAATCATGTATAGGTCAAGAGGCAAATCAAGCAAATGGAAGTGAACAATTGATTGTTTAGGAAAAACTAATGGAAGTCAAGAGGATGGTTTGAGAGAAGCACAGGAAGTAGAAGTGAGAGACATTAAATGTAAGCGGTTTTGGTTTGAGATTGCACAGGAAAAGGGAGATTATGAGACAATAGTGGAATATGAAGGTCAGCTGGGTGCTTTCTCTACCTCTTGAGCTAGCAGGCTTTCACACCAGCATCTGGTCCCTAAGTCTTTATTGGTAAAATTGAATGATTGAGGTTTTGTTAAAAATAACATAAAATCATTGTCTTTCTGTAAAATTATTAACAAAAATGAAATAAATTGTCATTTTCATTTGAAAATCAGAAAATAAATACTTCTGAATGAACTTCAGTAATCTTATCCACGTCACTAGATTTATTGTGTCTTCTTATCCCTACAGTTAAAAAGCAAAAGAAAAGAAAAAACAAAACTGCAGTGAAAAAAGGAAAGCAAGAAGAAACCAGTAGTTCCCAATCTCTTTCCATGGATAATCAATCAGATAAGAGTAAACCCTCTGCACAGGTAAGGTGGGTGGTCTCCCACCAAAAAGCTTCTCCCCAGGTTCCTCCCCTTCTTAGCTCTTTAGGAAGATTCAGTAATCTATCTAGTCCACGGCTCTAGTGAGAACAGGTTCTAAGTCAACAAATTCATAGGGACCTGTCACTGTCCTCCAGTGTCAGATATACAATGTCTCTAACTCATGCAGCATAACCCCCAGGGATGCAAACAAAAAACTTCCGCATGGCTTTTTAAAGACCATTTACTGAAACAGAAGTTGTTTGGGATGTGGCTTTTTTAATGGTTATATTAAATACAAACTTTATAATTCTACACCTCATGCTCTTTTGCCACCACAGGGATAAGTAGGATGAGATAAATGTAATTTTTCTACTCCTCTATCAGACAACCCTTTATCACTTAGTTGGGGTTTCTATTACTTGAAGAGATGTCATGATTATAGCAACTCTTATTTAAAAACACATTTATTGGACTTGCATATTCAGAGGTTTAGTCCATCATTGTCATGGTGAGAAGCATGTCAGTGTGCAGGCAGACATTGTGCTGGAGAGGTAGCTGAGAGTTCTGCATCTCCACAGGCAGCTGTAAGAGAGAGTGGCACTGGGCCTGGCTTCAGCATCTGAAACCTCAAGGCCCACCCCTCAGTGACAAACTTCCTCTAACAAACCACACCTACTCCAACAAGGACATACCTGCTACACACATACTGAGACTCTTTGGTGACCAAGTGTTCAAATTAGTGAATCTATGAGGGTCAATCTTATTCAAACTACCATACCATATGATCCATCTGTTAAGAATGAGGTGTACACAATGATGCAAATATAATTAGAATCCAGTAATAAAACAAAGATTCTTATGGTCCTTGAAATATCATGTTTTACTTAATATTAAAGACATTACTAAGGGCTGGGGATAAAACTGTATGAGAAAGCACAACATACTATGTACAAAGTCTGGGGTTCACTTCCCAACACATTGGAAAGTCAATAAGGAAAGACAAACATTTTTCTTTTAGAAAAAGAGAAAACAAACCATAAAAACTGAAGGTGGCAAGAAAATGAAGCTTACCCAGGAGCAGACTCAGCTTCTGGAGCCTTCAGGAAGCAACCCACAAAAAGATGAATGTTGTCTCCAGACTCCTCATAAGCCTCCACCAACACCATCCAGCAGTTCCTCAAACAAGGTACCACTTTCCTATTCCCAATGCTTGCCCTTTCCCAAAGCCTATCTCTGGGCTCACCACAACCTTGGGAAAATGTCTCACTGATCCCCTACTACAAAGATTTTCCTCTTATTATTAAATAGCTCAGTAAGTTATGTAATCATGTATCACAGCCTCTGTGGTACATTGAAAAGGTAAGTATTTATGAAATGATTTCTAATGTTGTCAACCAACTTTCTGTTTAGAGTTCAGAAAAGAAAGAGAGGAGACAGACAGGGACTAACACAAGAATGTATCATTCCCCATTGCCTAGTTTCTTCTCAGGCCTTTTCCCTTTGCTGGTGACCCAACTTCAGAGGTTATTTTCACCATTCTATGCTCTTCTTAACAGGTGTTTTGACACATTCTGTTTCTTTGCTTGGAAGTCTTTCTCCATGTCCATTCACTGACCAAATATTGCATAACTGTAATGGTCACTTTTGCTAAGTGTCAGTTTCAGACCCTCCCAGACATACACCAAACTCTCCCAGCCATTCCTCATCAAAGGGAATGGCTTCCTGTTCCCACTCTGATGCCTTTTTAATATAATTACAACAATCATAACCTTGAAAGTACTTCTCATCTAATTTCCTAATCATGTACTTAATTACATCGATTCATCATGCATATATTTTGAGATCCTGACTGCAATGTACACACATCTCCTTATTTTATTGCATGGTACCATTGTGTTGAACACTCTATGTGACCAGCATTTAATCTTCTTAACAGGTAGAGTCCTGTTATTTAGCACGGGAACTCCTTAGGCACATCTAATTAACCATGTTTGTCAATGACGACAGCAATTGAATTCAAGACGTAGACAAGCCTGGAAAATAGGCTACAGTTAGTATTAAGTTTGGCTTGAAAGGAGTCAGCTTTATAGCAATTGTTGCATTTTAGAAGAAATTTTACCTTGAACCATCAAAAACATAAAACAAAAACAGTAAAAATGGCCATTACTGCTAAACCAAAGTGTTTGCATACTTACTTACCTTCACTTTTAAAGCAAATTTTATAATATTTAAATTTTTATACTTCTAAGATTATAAAAGTATAATGAGGACCCTAACTTGATCTGTTGCCTAAATACAAGTATTTCTCACATACGGAGAAGTTTTATTAAACTAGAGTTATGCTTATTTTATAGACCTAAATACAGGTTTAAATGAGTCTGGATGGGGTTCAGGCATGCTATTCCAACACGAAGTTAACTGAGCTACATTCCCATCCATCTTGTCCATTTTTTTTTAGGGTATTTGTGGCATAATTTCAATCACATCACCTGAAAATGTGGAGGGTTGTATCTGTGTACAATAAGGATTGAATATCTGATAGATTGGAAAGTCTACCTGAGAAAAAGAACACAAGTAGCCAGTTTTACTACAAACTTCATTTCCCACAAAATAACACTAAAAGCTGAATGAGGCCAAGTAATATTTGAACAGTCTGTAAGATGCTTTGAGTTTGTATTCCATCCCAGACTAGAGAAAATTCAATACCTGACTTTTAAGAGAAGTTATAAGAGTGGAAGCTAGGTATTAGAAATAACTAAGTATGTTCTCAAGTACTTCCCTCAGCCCAGGAAAAAGCTGACAATTGTAAAAGTCCTCTTTTGAAAAGAGAAAGTACAAGAAAGTAAAAAGATGTACTTGGTCTTATTTTCAAAAACCAATAAGCAGTATTAAAAAATATCCCAATCCTATTTTCCTTTAAAACAGAAAAACACAAACATCAAAAAACAGAGTACCATTAAGACACAGGTTTCCCAGAAAAAACATCAACCTCCAGAATCTGCAGCAACCAGCAACTCCTCAGCTGCCAGTAAACTCCAGACTCTTCCAGAAGTTTCAGCAGCAGTAGCAGCAGCAGCAGCTTCTAACAGCCTCCACCAGACTTCTCAGACTCCAACAGAAACATGCTTCACTTTAAGAACATCTCTAGGCTCTCCAATACCACTTTGCCAGAATTTTCCGATGTCTCCAGCATCAGACTCTAGCATCCATCTGAACTCTCCAGTGCCTCTAACACGGTCCAGTGGTGTCCAGGCTCCTCATGTACCTCCAGCAACAATATCTGGTAATAGCTGGGTCCCTCACATGCCTTCAAAAACAGTGTCAAGCTTTCTCAGTACTCCTTATTTGTCTCCAGGATCAGTGTCCAATAGCGCCCAGAACATTCACCTACCTACAGCAACAGCAGCCGGTAGCAAGCAGTCTCCTCAGAGTCCTCAAGTAATAACATCCAGGCCAGCCCAAACCCCTAAAGGGCCTTCAGCAACATTGAAAAGGGAAGCCCAGGTAGGAATAGCAATAGCATCCAGCAATATTCAGGTTCCCAATGCTCTTCCAGAAGTAGTGTCCAGAAATGATAGCACCACCCAGGTATCTCAAAGAGCAGCATCCAGTGGCATTCAGACTCTTAACCCTGCTACAGTAAAAGCACCCAGGAATGCCAATGTCCCAGGTCCCTTAGGAACAGGACATGTTTATGTCCTGGCTTCTTTGGCTTCTCCAGCAACAGCATCTAGTAGTCTCCAGACTTCTCAAGTACTTCTACCAACAACATCCAATAGCCTTCCAGCTCCTCAGGGTTCTATACCAATAGGAACAAGCAAAGTACAGACCACTCAAACACACCTAGGAACATCATCCAACGTAATCCAGGCTCTAAATGCTCCTCCATGGACAGAGTCCAGAAGTATGTGTACCACTCAAGGGCCTCAAGGAGTATCATATGGTACTGGACAGGCTGTTCCCTGTTCTAAAGAAAAAGCATCAAGGAGTGTCCATGCTCCTCAGATGCCTTCAGCAACAGCATCTAAAAGTCTCCTGGCTCCATGTGGCTCTCCACCAACAGCATCTAGCTCTCTCCTGGACCCTTGGGTGTCCCGAACAACAGCATCCAGTGCTCTCCAGACTCCTCTGGTGCCTCCAACAGCAGTAATCAGCAGTCTATCAAGGGTAAAGCAACCTGTTCTTACAATATAATAACAGAGCTTAGCACAAACTTGAAAGGTTTCTTCATTAATCTATATGCACACATAACCTTTTATTCAAATAATCAACTCATTTTTATTGTGTTTAGTTACTGACCTTCCCTACATTCAACTTTAAAATAACTTTGTATGCTCTATTTGATTAAGAAAATGTCTGACTCAATGATCACCTGATCATGCCTATTCTGTAAGGAGTATAGTGAGACACTTGCTTATTTAATTTACATTCTGAACTTTTTGTCAAGGTATTCTTTTCATATTGTGAATTACTGAAACAGTTATAATGAAAATGTATTTCCTGAAGATAGAACACATCGATCAGGAATTGAAGTTTAACCCTACCATCCATAGTGTGAAATCTGTATGTTTCCAAGTCAAATTTCAGAGAGTGCTACCAGTTATAGCTGCCTCCCTGAGCTGGTACCCAGGTTGGCCATGACGACCAACATGCTTCTTCTTTCAGCCCTACAGTTTTGCCTCCATTTCATAGTGCTCTCCTGATGTTCAGAAATGGAATGGGATATTGAGGAAGTAGGTTATCAAAGTAAAATGACTTCAGGACTTTTTCTGGTCCCAGGATTCTCTTCCATGCCTGCTATTATGCAAAAAGAAGAGCTGCTAGCCCGAACCACTCCTGATTAACAATATTTGAGTGCATCTTTCTTTTACAAGAAAGCTCTGACTGTTTTGACAAGGTTTTGTAATTGGAATCTTCAAAATATTCCTACATAGAAGACTTGACTAGAACATGGAGGCTTTGGGTTCATTCCCCTTAACTACAAGTATAATTTCCTTATTTAGCAGGTATGATCAGTATTAATTGGAATCACTTAAGTAGTGATTTAGGTAAATCTCCATTTCTTCCTTTATCTAGGGTAAGGTATGGGAATCATTGTATAGATAGATGTTCTCCATTCTATTCAGTGGAGCTGTGCCTTAGGATTGGTCTGAATTATGCATGTTTATCCTCTGTATGTTTTATGTAGACACCAAAGAAGGGAAACTTACCAAAGGAGCCTTCTAAGGTAGAAGGTCACCATCGAGATCCCATACAAGTGATGGTGTTGAAAGTAACAGAACCATTTACTTATGATTTGATTGATGGCAAAAGAATGTTCCATGCCACAGTGGCTACTGAGACTGAATTCTTCAGAGTGAAGGTTTTTGAGACAGCCCTAAAGAACAAGTTCATCCCACAAAAGATCATTGCCATATCAGATTATTTTGGCGCCAATGGATTCCTGGAGATATATGGAGCCTCCTGTGTGTCTGATGCGAATGTTAACCAAACGATGGTTATCTCAAATACACTGAGGAGAAGAGCCAATGGAACTCCTAAAATTAAGGATCTTTTCTCTCAAATAAAAGGGACATACGTGAATGGAGAGTTTGTGGTAACTAAGGTAAGCCACTACATTATTTGTGGAATGCATATGCATTCTGAGATTTTAAGTTTTTCTTGGCACTGAAAGTTGCTCAACTTACTAAACACAGGAAATAATTACCTTTCATATCAGAAAGAGATGAGTAAGGTTTCCATACTTTGGATATTGGGATAGTCTCTAACCATTCCTCTCTCAAGGTACCACCATGAGAATTCTTTTTTTTTTTTTTTTTTTAACAATATTCAGTTCTACATATCAGCCATGGATTCCCCTTTTCTCCCCCCTCCCACCTACGCCCCTTACCCCCAGCTCACCCCCCATTCCCACCTCCTCCAGGGCAAAGCCTCCCCTGAGGACTGCAATCAACCTGGTAGACTCAGTCCAGGCAGGTCCAGTCCCTTCCTTCCAGACTGAGCCAAGTGTCCCTGCATAAGCTCCAGGTTTCAAACAGCC